CTAGCCCGTTTGCTTAAAGGGGCAGTCGGGTACTTAGGAAGTGCTGCTTATGACTCGCAAAAGCCATGGTTATGTTCAGACGCTTATGAAGCCTGGGTAAAGCCATGCTTGTGAACCCCTGGTCTAAGTGGGTTACAACCAGGCTTACAAACCGCTTACTGAGTACCCTGCCCCTTTGAGTAGAGAGGTACCCTGACAAAAGCGCATCCATATGCGGAGTGCAGGTAAGGCTGATATGCCACCTCCCATAGAGGCGTGCCCCTGCTGGAAGGGAACCCAGAAGCCAACCGGGATGGGGGCACGATCCACGCATAGCCCAAGCCAGCTCTCCAGCTGGATTCCCTGCTGCACTGGTCCCGCAGCCAGATTGTGCAAGTGCCCACTGCGGCAAATCTGCGCAATGATGGCCGAAGCAAGAGCAAATAATAACTGCCCATTGAACAAGAAAACTCAGTGTAAAGCCCAAGGCAAATCATAGGCGCCTGCCCTGACATGAGATGGGAACACTAACTTCTCGTGGAAACTACTTTGCTTTCCTTCCGGCAAGTTCTCCATTGCGCTTCTATGTTTGTTTGTAGGGCACTTTTGCCTGCAAATTGTGGGCGGGAGCTTACCATCCCGTGTCTTGTGGAGCCTCAGAACTAACCTGGGACCTGACAGCATGTTCCACAAGCTTCAACCTGTGAGTGGTCAACTGGGTATTGGCCAACGTTAAACCACCACAAAAAAAAACACGCAGGTTTTCGTCCTTGTTATTTTTCCAACAACCAGGGGATGTCCGGTTTTAGTGCTTTTTGATTTCTGTTTCCAGGGTTCCATTTTGGGTGCCTATGTTTGACCAACACCCAAATGTGGTTTTAGTCCTTGTTTTTTTTCCAACATGGGTTCCATGTTGGGTGTCGATTTTTCACCCACACCCAAGAGTGTTCAACTCCCTGGTCACGGTGCTGCGCAGATCGGGCATGGCTCCTTTTTGGCCTGGAATCCTTACCGCCCATGGCTGACATTGGACGGGGCGAGGCCGAGCGTGCCCTTTGGTAGGGCCTGCAACTCGCGTGAGTGATACACCGCATCCAGTCGAGCGCCTCGACCGTCACACCCCTCAGGCTTTTTCACATGGCCATGTGTCAAAATCCTGTACCCCCGAGTGAACATCCCAATCCCGACTAACTTGACTAAAAGGGGTGGTGCACAAACCCAATTGGTTTTGACCCACGGCCACATCTCTCATCCCGCCCAGCGGGAACCGTGCCGTGAATTTCTATGCGTCAAACGGCGCTTGGCCCCTATGGCCAGCGTGGCCTTGGCGCGGGTTGCGGATGCCACGTTCAGCGGGTCGCCTTCCGCCTTCGGCGAGCCGACCTTTCCGCTTCCCCCGCCAAAAGCCGAGCCATGCCAAGCCTCGGCAATAAAACTGGTGGGAGTCTTTTGCGCGAAGAAAAAAAGTGCAAAACCATGGAAGCCTCCGCATTCTTCAAAATGCGTCAAAACATGGGGCTTTGCTGTCCGCCGGTCCAAGACTCCCCCGATGAAAGGTGCGCGAGGGTTGCGTCCACCAGGGCTGAAAGCTGGCACGTAGAATGTCTTAGTTCCGGCAAATTGTTGCAGGGCTGGCAAAAAACACACACACCCACATTGTCACATAACCTCGGTGGCTGGATTCCTGAGCTTCCTGAGCCATGCTTGTATCGTTTGCATCGTGCTGGCAATCCCACGAAAACCACTTGCCGCTTGGACGGAGCTTAGCCCTCACGCATCCGTGCAGTCGATCTCTTCTTTGAAGAGCGCTACTGTAAAATGATGGGTCGTGATCGTTTTCTTGGTCAACCCTAAAACCTTGGGAATGAAGCATATTATCTATTGATCATTTTACTCAGGGGCCAACGTGTCTCTAACGGAGCCAAGCGTTTCGACCCCTAGGGCAGCACCGCGCGAAACTGGCGATGGAAGTTCTGCAGCCCCTTGGAGCCACGAGGTCCTGCGACAAGCGCTCCAAGAAGCCCCCGAAGATTGGAGAACTCTCACTCTATCTTCTTTTCCGCCCAAGGGCGCTACCTTTTCCCATCCCCCCGGTTGTTTTCTTTTCGTTCAGGGGATTTCTTTTTAATCAGGTGTTCCTCAGTTGGTGGTTTGGGTTGGTGGTTTGGGATTTGACTCCCTGGCTTTGAGGGTAAATGGACAAAGCACCCCTAACCACCAAACCACCAATGTTGGTAAATGGAATCATGGACTAACACCTGCGGTCCCCTAGTGGTTTAATTTTGACCCACACCCAACTAGAACCAAACGCCAAATCGTGGGTTGCACAGTGACTTTGCTTGCTGTCCCTCAGCGCCCGCGCTGCGGAAAGTTTTTTGCCTTTGGCTCAACTGGTCAAAGGTTTGAATGTGCGACCGGGTGCAAACCCTTGCCGTTTGGAGGGGGCGACCCTGGAAAAGGCCGGCGAAGCTGCGACCAATTCCCGGGCTGCCCTTCCAAACCCTTTCTATGGCCCTTTGACCAACTCCTCAAAGCTCACTCCACCGGTGACCCGATCTTCGTGAACCAACCAAGACAAAAAAAGGGACCCCCGTCGTTTGTTCCCAATTATATTCGCGATGCACAGGCTGGGTATGCTGGGCCAAGTCTAATTACGCCAAGGCCAACCTACCCTGCAAACTTGTGGCGTCGCCTGCTTTTTTTTCTCGGATGGAGGGCTCTGGGCGTATGAGGATGTTGTATATCAGAACTCCTCAAACGTGCGGGGTGTGTGTGCCAACGAACCTCTGAACCTGCTTTCGGCCTCTGATTGAAAATCATCCAGAAGAACTCCACAGCAATGTGCAGGGTCAAATTCAACCAGCCAGGGTAGGTGGGTTGCACTTACCCTCTGCAACGAAACATGTGAGTGCAGATCCTCTTGCCCAAAACGGTGGACAAGAAAGGGCGACCTTTCAAGCACCTGATGCACAATGGCCTTCCCAAAGTGTGGATACACTTGATTGGGACGGCTGTAGGCATGTCAGGAACTAGGTGGACGACAAGACACCTACATGAAACCATTGCCTTCTGGAGTGGCACAAGTCCTGACGGGACGCATCAGCAACCATTCAAATTACCAAACCAATGGCATTTACGCGGAGATGTCCAAGATATCACTTTGTGTGACGTGCAATTGCCAAAGCCAAAGATAAACTGCACTTCAACCTCAAGCCAAGGAAAGCAAAGCCTGAACTCATCCTACACACAAACGCTAAAATAATGACAACGCCGCCCCAAGTGCAAAGCCTCCCTACACCACGAGCGCAGTCTACACTTGAAGCCTAACATCCCAACAGCTAAGCAAGCTTACCTCCAAACCACCCAAACCACTGGGACAATTTGCCGAGGCACGCTTGGATGGCGACTTTTTGGGGGATTCCTGAGCGGTAGCACATGCAGTGCGATGGCAACTCGGCACAAAGAGCGAGTTGCAGCATCACATGTTTTATCACCACTTCTCTGATTAATAGAGGTCGCATGAATGGTTTCTCTCTGACTGGAGAAGGGCCCCAGCTCCCTTCAAGGTTTGGAAAAGCCCCCCCCAAAACTGAGTATATTTGTTCAAGCTCTTGGTTTTTTTTTGGGTTGCTTCTGGCCCCTTACCAACAAATTGAACTGGACACAGGAATCTGGAAAACCTCTTCCTTGCCTCCTTGGCCCCTGCTGGGCAATAGGACTTTAGATGGCTGTGGGTCAAAAATAGGTACCCAAAATGGAACCCTGATAGAAGGAAACATGGACTAAAGCCTGCGGTCCCCTGGTGGTTTAATTTTGACCCCTACCCAAATGGCGGCATCTTTTTTGTTTTGAGCCCCAAAGAGCCTGATTCATTGCAAGGGTTTTGTGCTAGAAAAGGGCGAGCTGGCCTCCAAGGGGGTCCCCTTTGCGAACTTGAACACTTGAACAACGTGCATTGGGATGGATGAAACCCCGTAAATACTGGGATAAACCCACCTACCAACTGATGCAGGATTTTGTCCACAGTATTCGTTGAGGAAAACTTGGGGGGATTAAGTGGCTTAGTATTGGCGGGTTTAAGTGTAAACTAAGCAAATACAAAGCAAGAAGGGTGTTCGGCTCGGGGCTGCAAGGTGGTACCTTTAACCGAGCAGGGCAGGGTTTTGGGGAGGCCCACGGAACGATTGCTGGCGCTCTGGGGGCCTTTTTTGTGCCAAATTGTTGGCCCTTGACTTTCGTACTGGTGGGAATCTTGGAGGCAAAGGAAAACAACCTCTAATCAGGGGGGCGTTACTACTGGTGCACTGACTTTGCGCCTGTTTCCTGCGAGGGGTAGTAAACAACTTACGCAAAGGCCTCCAAGTAAGCTCTATCTATTCCTGGAACAAACCGTGGGGCAATTCTCTCTTGATCCCACTAGTTGGGACAGTCATGTGCACTCTTTCTTGAAACACGTGAATCAGCCCAAGGCCAATGAAACCGCAAGCCGCTGGCACAAAAAGGGGACGCTTGGTTTTAGCCACCTTGCCAGGGCACCAGCAAAGTACTGGTGTCACTCCAGGATGACCTGGAGTGCTCCAGGGACAGGCTGTACACTGAGTCCTGGAAGTCCTGGCGTGAGAATGGCATGCCGAAAGGCTTCGGCGCTCCCCTTCTTTCTCGTGCTACTTAGTCAACAGCGAGATGTTGCTTGCTTTGGAAGGGTCAATCATTTTGACACACACCCACATACCCTCCAAAGTGCTGCTAAGTTGTCACAGGGCCACAAACAGGAAACCCACCACTTTGGGGCTTGAGCCGTCTCGGCCTGTTCGAACCCGTGCCTCACTGATCACGGGCCAGGTCTCGATCTCCGGCAGGATGCGATTGGACGAGCAAAAGCACGTGGACCGGAAGGCCATGATGGGCTGCTTCGAATCCCGCAGCCTCAGCATGCGTCTGATGTGCCGAGCACAAAGGCGGAATGCACATCCTGCCTCCCAAGGCCCCCCCCCCCCCCAAATCCCCCACCCCTTCCGGCG